AGCTCAGCGACACAGCACCTGCCTGGCAAGCACAAGGTCGTGAGTTCGATTCCTGGTACCGGAAGAAAAACAGAAAAAAACCAAAACAAACAAATCACTCAGCCTTATCACATAGCTCATTTCCCCCCAAAATGTCTTCTGGAACGCCTAACTGCCCCCGCCTGCTGTGCTGGGGACTGAACTCAGGCCCTTCACAATGCGCTACCTCCCCGGCCCTTTTTCAGAGATAGGGTTTTGCTAAGTTCCCAGGCTGGGCTAGAACTCAGGATTCTCTGGCCTCAGCTCTCAGAGGTCAGTGATTACAGCCATGTGCTACCATACCCAGATCCCACATCCCTTCAGGGTGTGCATTTAGTCCTAGAATTCCTTTTATTTTATTTATTTATTTATTTATTTTATTGATTGATTGGTCTTTTTGAGACTGGGTCTCGCTATGCAGTTCAGGCTGGCCTTGAACTCACTTTGTAACCCAGGCTGGTCTCAAACTCACAACGATGCTCCTGCCTCAGCCTCCCGAGTGCTGGGATTACAGGCGTGCGCCACCACTCCTGGCTTCTTGCTCTTAAACTCCAGAATGATGCTTCCAGACCCTCACTAAACACATTTATTGAGCCAGACTTGCTCCCCATCGCGCTTCCCCGGTGAACTCGTCACCCCCGAACCCGCTCATCCTCTCCTCCTGCTCAAGCTGACGCCGCCGCGCTGTCACCCTCCAACACACGGGCAGCTCCGTGTCTCCAGCTCCTCCCTGGTGAGGTGCCCTTCGCTGAGGCGTGTGTTCGGGAGCCCAGGTTCTGGGATGACTTCCAGGTTCAACTCCAACTTCTGATTATTGGCTGTGTGAATTTTGTCCTCTGCCTCCAGATGGGGCTGATGATAATGCCAGAAATTGTGGAGAGGACTCATGTGTACTTAGCATCGCGCCTGACTCTGAGCGCTCAGTCTGGATGTGACCCCCTTTCCTCACTGCCCGGGTCTCTGGTCCCACTGAGAACTCGGCCCCAGGGATTCTTCTGAGGCCTCCCCTCCACATGCTGCCAGGTAGGTAACTGCCCCTTCTTCCTTGTAGCATTGTGCTTAGTCCGTGTCTATGTGCGACACACCATTGGACTTCTGAGTACTGTTCACGTGTTACCTACTAATCTGCAGGATCCCGTGAAAGTCACGTCTCCATGACATGTATTATCTCAGATGCCTAGCACCCAGCACCTGACAGATGCATTACTAATCTCAGCTAAGCAAATCTAATCTGCTAAAACCTATCAATTATCCTTCCTAAATATCTTCTGCGCCTCAAGCCCTTATCTCTACGTAATTACTGGGAAGCTTACCACTGGTGTTGACACTTGTTCCTTGCTTCCTCTTCACTGTCATCAGAATGAGCCGGAAGTCACTAGTGTTCTCAAAAACTTACCTGTAAGCCGGGCGTGGTGGCGCACGCCTGTAATCCCAGCCCTCAGGAAGCTGAGGCAGGAGGATTATTGTGAGTTCAAGACCAGCCTGGGCAACAAAGTGAGCTCAAGGCCAGCCTGAACTGCATAGTGAGACCCTATCTCAAAAAGACAAAAAAAAAAAACAAACCTTACCTGTAAAATAAAGTTCCAAATTCTCTCCCACACATAAATTGACCTCAAATTATCTGTAGTCTCATCTTTCATTTGTTCCTCCAATAAACTTTATGCCGCAGGTATACTCGTCTCTCCTTCACCATATCCTTCATGTTCATTTCTTACTCCTGTTGTGATCTCATCTTACTATTATTATTATTATTCTTATTTTATGGTACCAGGAATCGAACTCATGACCTCGTGCTTGCCAGGCAGGTGCTGTGCCTCTGAGCTAATCCCTGACCCATGACCTCATCTTAAAACAGAGGTTGCAAACTGGTGGACCCATGTTGTTATTGGGCCTCGGGCTTTTTTGTTTTGCTATTTGAGACAGGGTCTCACTATGTAGCCCCAGCTGCCCTCGAATTTGCGGTGATCCTTCTGCCTCAGCCTCCCCAGTGCTGCGGTCACGTGTGCACCATCTGCCTGTCTTAACCCCCTGCCCATATACTGCTCGTGAATCTTAGCGTACTTGTGATGCCTTACTACAGGCCGTAGGGAGTAAGTTCTCTGCAGGGCAGTGCCATTTGGCTACACGAACCCCTCAGCCCTGCACCCCCCCCCCCAGTGAGTACTCTGCAGGGTAGACATTCAGTGAATATTTACTTCCAAAAGTCAGACCTAAGCTGGGCACACAGGGACATGCCTATAATCCTAACCCTCAGGAAACTGAGGCAGGAGAATTGTGAAGCCAGCCTGGGTTACACAGGGAGACTACCTCGAAAACAAACAAGAACTACCCTAAAGAGACTTGGCACCATTCACGACACTCAAACAAGGAGAAGAACAAGGAGCAGGTTCTTAAAGTAAAAGGAGTTTCAGGGAAGAAAGACCACCGTTATCACTGGGGAAAATACACCACCTAGTATGCTTGCCCTACTTTGTGACGTCATTATGTGCTTGCTTTTTTTTTCTTGGTACCAGGAATCGAACTCAGGACCTTGCGCTTGCCAGGCAGGCGCTTTTATTTTCTAATCATGTGTGGCATGTATGAAAGAGTAGACCGAGTGCAGGAATTGCCCCCCAGTTCTAACTAGAGTTTCTAGAATACGTTTAGATTTACGTTAGACGCCTGATAAATGTTCAACAAGTTTAAATTACAGTTCAGGGGAGGGAGATTCTCTTCTCTTGGCAGGAGCTGGTGGCAGAAAACACTTAGGAAAAGGCTTTATCAAGGTTTGCCAGCCACACACCGGGTGGTCGACTTGGTTTCTGCTCCTCAGGGCTACTTCCTTGGCTAGGAACCACCGAGGGGTGGAGGCTTCCAGGCCTACAATACAATTCCAGACTGCAAAGCAAAGGTGCCTGAAGGAGGAGGGGAAGGAGCATGCGTGTCTTCTGTAAAAAATATCCCCAATCCCAGAAGCACTCAGGAGGACGCGGGATTCAGAGTAAAGGCGCACCACGGCAGGAGCACAGTTCGGGTCCCTGGAGGGAGCCCCGGCTGCTGCGGGGCAGGAGGGAGGAAAGGGTGCAGGAGGTCACAGGCGGCCAAGCGGAGGCGAGGCGGACACCACCCCCAGACGGACGTCCTCCTCAGACAGGCCGAGACAGGTCACAAAGCAAGGAAGGAAGGGGACTGGGGTGGGAGAAAAGCCTACAGAGGAAGAAACCTTCACAAGAAGGGCAGGGATGGTGATTTAAGAATTCAGAGCTTTGAGTGAAAGGTTTATTATTAGAGCAGTCAACACCACGGAACAGCGCGTACAACACAACCAGCAGCCCGCAGAGACACCAGTGCAAAGGGGAGGGGAGCGGCGAAGCGGCCGCCTGGCTCCATCCGGGGCCGGAGGAAGGAGAGCATGGCCCCTGGTAAGGCAGGCAGGGGAGGCAAAAGGGAGTGGGAGAAATGCAACTGGACTAATAGTCACGTTTTTTCAAATTCCCAAGCCCAGTGGCCGGAGCCGACACTGTTCCCTAGCCCCTTCAAGCTGGTATGCGCCCACCCCAACCCCAGTGGAGCTGATCCGACTCCGAGACCAGTGGCAAGCTGGTCTGGAATAAATCTCCAAACAAAGACGCCATTACACGGTGGAGAGAAGCCCCCTCTCTCCAACCCCATGCCGCCTGCACGGTGGGGTAAGCACACCCACCCCCTTGCTGACTCCGCCAGTCACCACAGGGACCAAGGGAAGCGCCAGACAGCCTAAAATGGAAGTCCTGAGGTGGATACGGCAGAGCACAGCCTGTTCTCAGAGACCCAAAGATAGCTTTTTTTTTTTTCTTTTTGAGACAGGATCTCGCTGTGCAGTTCAGGCTGGCCTTGAGCTCACTTTGTAGCCCGGGCTGGCCTCAAACTCGCAGTGATCCTCCTGCCTCAGCCTCAAATGCTGGGATTACAGGCGTGCACCACCGTGCCCGGCTCCAAAGATGTAATGCTTATCCTGTTTGTCAGGTGAAGCTTAGAACCCAGCCCCAAGGACAGCTGGGGAGGGCTGCCTTTAAGAGCAGTGCTCTGAATCCAGGAGGATGCTGGGCTGGGAGGAAGTTTCTTCAGGGCCCGGGCGGCGATGCTGGACCATCACATCCCTCACAGGAGCAGAGGAAGCCCCTCCCCACAGGCGGGTTACAGAGGGTGGGAACAGGTAAAAGTCCGCCACGGACTCCCTCGGCTCCTTCTGTGTCAAAGCCAAAGGTGGTGCTGAACATGAAAAATGTAAAACAGACCCTGTCCCTGTCCCACCCTATCCGGAACCCCAACAGGAAGAGGAAAAACAAAACAAACAACCCCCCAAAAAAACCAAACCAAAACAAACTTTACATTTTGTTGATTTTTTTTTCTTTTTTCATTTCTTAAAAAAAAAGTAAATAAATTAAATGCCAACAATGTAGCTGGGCTAGAATGTGGTATAAGCCCTAACAAGGCCATTCTTTAAAAAAAAAATGTGGAAAACAGACTGGGTTTGTGAAATACAGACAAACAACAGCCAAAGGAAATTATCAAAAGAACTACCATCCCAGGGCCGGAGAGGGGCCCAGGAAACTATCACGGGTGTGCCACAAAAGGTGGTGCCTGCCCTATTTCGGCAAAAGCCAGGAAGCAGCTTCGTGCTGAGCATATGAAGCCATCAGCCCTGCCGCTCCCCAGGGAGGGCCGCGTAGGAAGGAAGAGCCCGTCCGGGACCTTCAGCACCCCAGCCTGTGCGCTGCAGGCCCTGCGGTGCTGCACCTCTGGCGGCTGCGCGGGAAGCGCTGGGCAGACCCGGCCGCCCCGACAGGCTGATCAGTGACGCTCAATTACTGGCCTGTTTACCCCCAGGGTTTTGGTTCCACCCTCACCATCTCTCTGGGATGCCTCCTCCCCAGAAGTGCCCTCTAAATGCCACTGAGAGTCAACAGGTCTGCCCGCTTCAAGTCCCTGGCTGAGGAGGACGGGGCGATGAGCGATCCCTCGCGCCACCTTGAGCCTCCAGGCAAAACAAATCTCTTTGTGCTTTCTGCAAATATCTGGAACCACGGACCCTCGGCAGGAAAATACGAAAGTGGGGACGTTCCTACCTAGACAGAATTTACGGACATTTTAGAAGAAAAAATATGGCCGAAGGCAGGAATCTGGGCCCCCCGCCTCCAGAAGGCTGAGCGAAGCGTCCCAGTGCCCTTCAGGGCCAGAAAAACGGGGGTTTGTGGCTCGGCCTTGAGGAAAACGGGGAGGACTCGGGGCCCAGCTGCTGGAGTGACAGGGCTTTCGGATTTCCGTCTCTTCCTGATCGCCAGTCCAGCTCGCCTAGATCTCCTCCACGCCATGCGCAAATATCATGACAAGGCCCGGCTCCTGCACCATGTCGTCTCCCATGTGCTGGTTCTCACAGGCCATCACCACCACAGCCTGCTTGCCAGGGATGCGCTTGGCCACGTAGTTCTCGTAGAAGCGCCGGTTCATCTGTCTCGTCTCTAGTGTGGCCAGGCCCTGCGGCCAGCTGCGCTCGTGGGCGTTTTCAATCAGCTCGTTGACAATAGAGGCAGGACAGCCGCTTTCCACTAGGGAGCGCTTGATCACGGCCTGGAGCACGGCGTCGGGGGTGGAGATCATCCCGCCCCAGCGGGTCACTCTGGCCGGCTGCAGCGAGTTCACCCACCTGTGTGGAGGGGGTCGCAGGTGGTCACCGCAGTGCAATTCCTTTTCGCCGCTCTGGCTGCTTCTAAGTAGAACGCCCGCCCACCCTGCGGTTAGCCTGACTTTATTCAGCCTTCCTTCCAGCACTGGCTCAGACACCTCAAATCTTTCCCTAGTTGACCCCGTCTGAGTCACCACATATTACTCGCCAGAATAAATCCCACGAGTCTATATTCTGCTCCCGTTTTCTTTGAAATCCCAATCTCAACGCTTAACGTACATCACGCCTGGCACAAAGTAAGTGCTCAACATATATCTGCTGAATGACGCACTGGCTCCGCTGTACTGTGTCCCGCTTGGCACTGTGTGCCCTAAACATATATATACACACACACGATTTCACACTTACAGTGTAGTCTACGAACTGTATAGGACTCCAGAACTGAAAGAGATCTTAGACTTCGCTTGCTTTTGCTGCACTCTAGACCACTTTCCTGGACTTGCACTCTGCCTCTTCTCTGGGCTGTAAGCTGCCTGAAGACAGGGACGACAGCTTCTATTTCTTCTTGGCCTTCCTAGCACTCCACGGCTTTAACACGGGGCTTTATACGTGGCGGTACTCACCTAATTCCAGACACACTGCATCCTCGGACAGGCTTCCCCTTCCATCTACCCAAATAAATAAGAGATCCTGTACTGCAGCTGAGGCGCCCCTCTCCTCTGCCCTTCTCCTTCACCCCAGCATCTGGGAGGCGGTGGCCCTGGGCCAGCTCTTACTGCTGTCCTCTGCCACTCCCCTGCTCGTCCTCCTCTCAGCCTTGGTACCAGGATGTGGAGGGAGCGACTCCACGTCCTACGGGACACTCACTCTAGGATCTCGTTGTATTCGATCGTCTCCTCCAGGTTCTGAAGGTTGGGGTTGACGCTGCGGATTGCACGCATGTACGCCTTCAGCAGCTGGATGTCTCGCTTCTGTGGGGGGAAGCAGAACCGGGGGCGATGGGTAAGGCAGACAGCAGATAAAAGGTATGCGTTCATCTGAGAAGGAGGCTGCTGAGAGACTGCAGGAACACCAGGCTGCGCGCTTCCCAGGGAGACAGGGACGGCGTGGCCTCACTCCCTGCTGCCCCCCCAGTGCTTCGCAAAGCTCCTCACAGACGTTAGGCGAGCGCGCGCCACGTGTTCTCTGGGTCCTACCTGCTCCGCCAGCTGGTGCTTGTGCTCGGCTGACGTCTTCTCCAGCTCTGCGATGCGCGTCTGCTGCTGCTGCACCACAGAACGCAAGTGCTTAATGCAGTTGTGGTTCGGCAGCTCGTCTTTGGGCATCTCCAGGCTGCGGCCCAGCGGGAGAGAGCAGAACAACCCATTCGGTGAGACACGTGGGAAAACGGCTTGTTCTGTGGCAGAACCTCCTCAGTGGGCTTTCTCTTACTCTTAATTTCTTTTCCTTTCTTTCCTTTTTCTGTCTTTCTTTCTTTCTTTCTTTCTTTTTTTGAGACAGGGTCCCTCTGTATAGTTCAGGCTGGCCTTGAACTCACTATGTAGCCCAGGTTGGCCTTGAACTCAAATTGATCCTCCTGCCTCAGCCTCCCAAGGATTACAGGCGTGTGCCACCACACCAGGTTCATTTCTGAGAGGCCCTAGATTTACTGTCCCAACTATCAGCATTTAATCAAATATTTCACACCTCTCTGAAAGAAAAAAAATAGGGCAGGAGGAAATATGAGAAGCCTGGAAATTAGAGCAGTCAGCCTCACAAGCAGATAGCAGTATGGACCCTAATGGAAGAACAAACTGGATCAGTCTTTAGTGTCATCACACAGATCATTGAACTGCTCTCCTCCTCTTATTAAAGCCAGAGCATAGGGGCTGGGGATTCAGCTCAGCAGCAGAGAGCCTGCCTGGCAAGCGCAAGGTCATGAGTTCAATTTCCGGTACCGGAAAAAAACCAAAAACCAAAAACCAGAAAAGAAAAAAAGCCAGAGCATAAAGACCATAGCTGGAAAAGCAACAAGGAGCTGAGGCCCTGGGGGAAGATCAGGCAGCGGAGAAGGCCAGGAATGCCCTGGCCTACATCTGTGCACTCTCCCCAGCCAGCTCACGGGGTGTCAGAGGCAGGCAGACCCGGGGGCCCTGATCTGCAGAGGCGGAGGGAAGAACTCTCACCCGCAGCCCTGCTCACAGGTCACAGGCCGCTTCGGGTTGTGCTCACAGTCGCTAAGGTGAGACATGAGGTTATCCAGCCGGACAACGGCACTGCAGCCGAACACAGCGTTGTCACAGGCAATCTGCAGCTTTGACAGCATGTTCCGCATGATCCGGGGCACTGGGCGGAGGTGGGCGACTGTCACGACGCTGCGGTCCACGGGACACGTCTGCTGCTGCGAGAACCACTGAGTGATACAGGCATTGCAGAAGGCGTGCTCGCAGTGCGGGGCCTGGGGAGGGCAGGCGAGAGGGACCCGGGTTAGCAGGCGTGGGGAACCTGGGCGTGCTAACCACGCCAGTCCAGCTGCTGAGCGGCTTGCAGGACCAGCAGTGCCTGAGCTCGTGACAAATTACGCATCTGCCACGAGCAAGGCATTTTGGGGTAAGGCTTAAGGTCCGTGTCCTGTGCTCAAGATTACAAATGGATCGTAAGACAAGACAAACAAGCAAAAAGGTGTATAACAATGAGAGCTATAAATGACATTCCAGGACAATAGGAGCTATGACACAAGGCGGCCAATTATTAACTGCCACCTGGATTGCATACACAGTAATTGCCAAAGAGGTCCAGAGGGTGAGACTAGGTCACCCAAAGCAGGTGTTCACGAGGAGGGCAGGACTTGTGATAGATCTTGAAAGATGACTCAGAGTGTAGCTGTGGAGAAGAGGGCCACAGACGTACAGGCAGAAGGTCAAGGTAAGGAGGGAGAACAAGCTGGGCGCCCGCAGTGCCCATCCTGCCCGCACTTGGGGAGCCGAAGTGGGAGGACGGCTTGAGCCTAGCAGTTCAGGACCAGCCCAGGCAACAGAGCAATACCCGTCTCAAGCAAACAAACAGAAAATTCAGAGCAAGGAACGTCTAGGGCTATTTTGTTTGCTGTTGTTGTTTATGTGTTTATTTTTTAGACAGAGTCTTGCTTTGTAGCCTAGGCTGGCTTCAAAGTCCCCATCCTCCTGCCTCAGCTTCCCGAGTGCTGGGATTACAGGCGTGCGCCACCATGCCCAGCAAACACTGAGACTTCTGTTGCGAGGTACAAGGCCTCTCTATGTAGACACAGTTTCTTATATTGTGAGAATTGACCTGAGGTGTTGCTGAGTCGCAACAGCCAAACCTAGGTTCCTAAATAGAGGTAGAGTTTTTCTGCGGAATCACGTTCTTTTCAGGTTTTCTTTTCTTTTTTTTTCTGGTATGTGTAGGGGTTTGAGACAAGGTCTCATGCACTACCACGACCAGCATTTTCTTTTTTTTTTTTTTTCTTTCAATATGATGTTGGCGCCAGGCATGGTGGCACATGCCTGTAGTCCCAGCATTTGGGAGGCTGAGGCAGGAGCAAGTTCAAGACCAGCCTGGGCTGCAAAGTGAGCTCAAGGCCAGCCTGAACTGCATAGTGAGACCCTGACTCAAAAAGACACACACACAAAAAAAACCAATAAAAAAACAATATGATGTTGGAGACTGAACCCAGGGCCTTGCACGTTCTAGGCAAGTGCTCTACCACTGGGCCACATCCCAGCCCTCAGTTTTATAAAGATCGTAATTCAGCCAACTTCCCTGCAAGGATTCCCTGTACCCGTGCAGATGCCCTCTCGCACCGATGAATAACGACTCTGGTGCCCTCTGCGTTCCAAACGCTTCGTGAGGTCCCTAAGATCTGCCCCCAGGATGCTCGGACTCCACCCTTTTAGAATCCATCCTCCCACTAGCACCCAGAGTGATCACTTCCTTGGTGGCTCATGACTGTAATTCCAGTACTCTGGGAGGCTGAGATAGGAGGATCCCAAATCGAAGCCTGGGTAATGCTGTGACTTAGCAAGACTTCATCTCAAGAATAAAGGGTCGGGAGCAGGATGGGATGGTGCACACCTGTAATCCTAGCAAGTTCAAGCCCAGCTGGGCCACTTACTACCTTAGTGAGACCCTGTCTCAAAATAAAAAATAAAAAAGGGCTGGGTATATAGCTAAGTGAGAAAGCCCTGGGTTCAATCTCCAGTATGCCTACTCCCCACAAAAGACCCCATGTCAAAATAAAATAAAAAATAAAATAATAAAAATGCAAACGAGATCATCTCACTTCTTTGCTTTAAAATATGTAACAGTGGGCTGGGGATATAGCTCAGTGACATAAGCGCCTGCCTGGCAAGCGCAAGGTCATGAGTTTGATCCCCAGTACTGCAAAAAAAAAAAAAAAAGATGAAAAATATGTAACAATGAGCTCAAGGCCAGCCTGAACTGCACAGCGAGACCCTGTCTCAAAAAGCCAAAAAATATAAATAAATAAAATATATAACAGGCAGGCATGGGGGAAGATCACACACCTGTAATCCCAGCTATCTAGGAGGATGAGGCAGGAGGATCACAAATTGGAGGCCAGCGTGGGCAACTTAGCATGACCTTATCACAAAATGAAAATAAAAAGGGGGCGGAGGATACAGTTCAGTGGTACATGTGTGTCCAGCAGGCATATGCTCCGGGTCTAATCCCCAGGACCACTGCCACTAAGACAAAAAAAGGAAATGATTTCCCAGTGCACTTCCAGTGGCTCTGAACTCTCCGCACAGGGCCTGTAAGACTCTGCTTGGCCTTACCCTGTGCCTGACCTCTCCTCTCCTTGCACCATGCTCCCGGCAGTGCTCCCAGGAGCGTTCAGGCCACTTTGGGGTTTTTTTCTGTACTTCAACCACATCCAACTTATTCCTGCCTCAGGACCTTTGCTTTTACTGCTTCCCTTGGCTTAAAAGAATGGTGCTCTTCTAGATCTTAACGCAGGAAGGCCCCCTCATCATCCAGCTGTCTCCTCTTCAGTGCCTGTCCTACCTCAACCTGCCACCTTTGGCTGGCAGCTCAGTGGTACAGCTCTTGCCCACACGCATGAAGCCTTGGTTCAATCCCCAGCCCTGAAAAAAAATACCAAAGAAATAAAAAAAACTAAGGCCAGGCGTGGTGGCACATGCCTGTAGTCCCAGCACTCAGGAGGCTGAGGCAGGTAAATTCCTGAGAGTTAAAGGCCAGCCTGGACTACACAGTGAACTCAAGGCCAGTCTATACTACCTAGCAAGACTGTCTCAAAAAACCAAGGAATGAATGAAAAAAGTGAATGAATGAATGATAAAGAAACTTTTTAAACTTGCCTCCACTGGCGAAGTACACAGAATACCTACCTAAATACTCACAGAAAGGATACCAACTAATAAAAAGTTACCTGTGGGGCCTAGGTAGATAGGGACAGGAGAGAAGTGAGAGTTCTCACCATGTATCTGCGTATCGTTTATACTATTTTGATTTTTTCCCCAATACTAGACTTGAACCCAGACCCTTACATATACTAGGCAAGTGCTCTGCCACTGAAATACATTGCCAGCCTTTGAAATATTTTTCTTTTTGGTACTGGGAATTGAACTCAGGACCTTGCACTTGCCAGGCAGGTGCTGTGCTGCTGAGCTATATCCCCAGGGCTTGCTAAATTCCAGGCTGATCTGGAATTTACGATCTTTCTGCGTCAGCTTCCTAAGCAGCTGGGATTACCAGGCATGGTGGTGCACGCCTGTAGTCCCAGCACTTGGGAGGCTGAGGCAGGGGACTGCCTGAGTTCGAGGCCAGCCTGGGCTACATAGTGAGACCCTGTCTCAAAAACTAAACAAATATGGAATGGAGCAAGCGGCATCTCTAGCGGGGCTCTTCTACCTCCGGGAATGCGCCCAGCATCACAGGGGATGCCTGCTCTCAGGAGGTAGGTACTGGAGGCGGACGGTGCCTTCTGACTTAGCTGTCACCAAATACCACTCCTCTCTACAAACGACTTGCCTCAAATGACAGTGCCAGAAAACAGCCCTGCCAGGGTGGGGAGGGACCCCACACACCTGTGACCCTGCCTCTGCCGTGAACTCGGCCGGCCCATCCCACACACCTCTAACTCCTCCCTTGGCAGTAGGCTGCAAAGGGACAGGAAGGGGTAAGTCCAGGGCTGGCTGCCATTGCAATATGGTCTCAATTTTTTTTTTCAGCTCAAGCATCTGTCCTCCCTTGGGTGGTTGGAAACTACAGAGAAAATGAGTGGAGGGTTAGGAGGAGCCTTGGGAGTTACATAACGTGAAAGACACCTTGCTGATTAGCGTCCTGGTTTGGAAAGTGGGATTACCAGGCTGGGCGTGGTGGTGCACGCCGCCTGTAATCGCAGCACTCGGGAGGCTGAGGCAGGAGGATCATTGTGAGTTCGAGGCCAGCCTGGGCTACAAGGTGAGCTCAAGGCCAGCCTGAACCGCACAGCGAGACCCTGTCTCAAAAAAAAAAAAAAAAAAAAAAAAAAAAAAAAAAAAAAAAAAAAAGTGGGATTACCGACAGCTGGTCAGAGTGGCAGAGGACCACCTGGTATTTACAAGGTGAGGCCCGTAAGGCTCACGTGGGATGATATTCCATCACTGCATCTGTGAAGGGTTCGTCCCTCTCAGCCAGCTCACCTAGGACGCCTGGACGCTCCCCCAACCTGCCCCGGAAGATGCAGCTGCCTCCAGCCAGGCAGGGCTGCCAGAGAAAGACCTACTGCTGGTGGCAGCTCTCTTATCAAAAGGCAGAGTGCTGGTTCCTTCAGCAGATCCCAGGAAGAAAACAGGTCAGTAAAGCCAACCCCACACTTCCTACCTAGGAGGCAGGTGAGAGGGCTGCGGGGTACTGATAACCCGAAGCGATACGCCATCGAAATGCAGACCGGAGCCCAGAGGCCAGTCGTGGACAGGAAGTCAGACCCTAGTCAGCATTCCCGCAGCGGAAGGGCAGCTGTCAAGCTACTGCCGGAAGAAGCAAGCCGCTGACTGTCTCACAGCAGAAAATCCCAAAGCTAGCTGGAACTGGGGCCTGGGGCGTCACTCGAGGCAGACTCCGGAAGCCCTTCTCCTGTAGCCATCCCTGCTCCCTGTACCAGACCTCTGCTGGGGTGGGGAGCGGGGCAGAATACAGGGATGGGCCCAGACACCCCACTCCTCATGGAGATTTTCCACCAGCGCGACGGCCACGTCTCCCCAGACCCCCACACGACTCACCTGTACTGGCTCCTCCAAGACTCCACTGCAAATAGGGCAGATAAGGTCTTCGTCAACATCCCCCTGGAAACGGGTTACATCATACCCCATGTCTCATCACTGAAACCCAGGTCCTAGGAGGGAAGACAGAGGAAAAACAGGCACTTCAGAAGAGCCCAATCCAGCCGGGGATATAGCTCAGCGGCACAAGCACCTGCTTGGCAAGTGCAAGGTCCTGAGTTCGATTCCTGATACCAAAAAAAACAAACAAACCAAAAAACAGAAAAGCCCAATCCTGTAATCCCACAATTCTGAGAGGCTGCAACATGAGGACTTGAAGTTTGACCCCCCACCCCACCCCACCCCATGGGTAATGTACAGTCTCTGTCTCAAAAAAAAAAAAAATTTTTTTTTTTGTCTTTTTCAGACAGGGTCTTACTTTGTAGCCCAGGCTGGCCTTGAACTTGCAACGGTCCTCCTGCCTCAGCCTCCCGAGTGCTGGCATTAGAGGCATGCGCCACTACACCCAGCTCATAATTTTAAAAAATAAAAAATAAAGAAAAGGGGCTGGGAGTATAGCTCAGTGCAAAGGCCCTGGGTTTAACTGCCATTATCACAAAAAGAAAAAGGACACCTGATAGAGGGTCAGGCAATCCACAGACCAGCCAGCAAGCTGTGATACCCTAGAGAGGATGGCTGAGTCAGTGGACAGGTGAGCCCAAAAAAGGTGAAGGATGGCTTGCAGAAAGGCCTTGAAGGATCAAGTGAAGCTAAAATGAGGCTAGATTAAGTCACAACCAACCGGGTTCACATTCCCACATCTTTTCTTTCTTTCTTTCTTTCTTTCTTTCTTTCTTTCTTTCTTTCTTTCTTTCTTTCTTTCTTTCTTTTTTTGGTCTCCTTGAGACAGGGTCTCGCTATGCAGTTCAGGCTGGCCTTGAGCTCACCTTGTAGCCCAGGCTGGTCTCGAACTCCATCACAATGATCCTCCTACCTCAGCCTCCCGAGTACTAGGATTACAGGCATGTGCCACTACACCCAGCTCCCACATCTTTTCAAGAACTAGGCACTGAACCCAGGGCCTGAGTTATATCTCCAGCCTTTTTAGATGTTTATTTTGAGACAAGGCCTTGCTAAATCACTACGCAGTCACCCAGGCTGAGCTTGAATCTGGATCTTTCTGCCCCAGCTTCCCTCCATGCTGGGGCGGAAACTCACCTGGCTCACATGCGCACATCTGCTACTCAGCATGTGTAACTGGGCAGGCTACGTGACCTGCCTAATTTAAACTGTGGAGCTTCCATAATTTGAAATCTGAATATTTCAAACTAAAAAACTTCTGGAGCACCAACACGATGCCACAAATGGAAAATTCCGTATCTGACCCCACGTGAGCGGTCACAGTCTAAGTGGAGGTGTACTAAAGACAGGGCATAAAATTACACTCTGGCTATGGGTATTAGATATAAGTGAAACACAAATGAATTTCATGTTTGACTTGGGTCCTTTCTACAAAATACTGAGTTCTAAGCATTTCAGATAAGTGATATTCAACCTATTCTTGATTAAAAATTCCTTAAGAAGCCAGCTACAGGGCTGGGGATGTAGCTCAGTGGCACAAGTGCCTGCCTGGCAAGCCAAGGTCCTGAGTTCGATTCCCAGTACAAAAAAAAAAAAAAAAAAGAAAGAAAGAAAAAAGAAGGTACAGTGCTATATGTCTATAATCCTAGGTACTGGGAGGCAGAGACAGGAGGATCACAAGCTTGAGGACAGCCTGGAAAA